TTGAGAGCGATTGGCCAATGATCAGAGATGCAACGGGACCGGATCTCCTGATAGGTCAAGGGGTAAAGGTCTTTTTGTTCTGTTGATATTAGAAATCTGTCTATCTGCACCTTAGAGCATTCTATTGCATGTTGGACCAGGTGAAATCGCCATTTCTAGGAGGGAGATAATGCAATCTGTGTCAAGAAATAAACATGGAAAACTCCATACTTCTGTTAACTCTTCTCCCGTTTGAGTGCTCATGACGGAATCTAGTGACGTTGAAATCTCCATCCACAACCTAGGGAATGTCTTCCTGTTCATGAAGGGAATCCAGCTCCTCCCAAAACTGATTCCTCTTGGAAGGGGTATTAGGACTATAGACCACAGTTAAAGTCCAAGTGAAACCATCTGCCTTATTAGTAAGAAGGACTGAAATCATGAATTCACCTTTATCTACCTCTACTCCGGAAACTACATCTTCTCTCCACATTATGTGAATCCCTCCCGAGGTGCTTGTAGTAGGATTGTGTTTTAACCAATTTCTGCCTCACTCCCCAAATTGTTTTTATCAATTTCCTGTCCACTACTTTTTTTATTTCCTACATAGGATTATGTCAGGATTCTCTCTTCTCAAAGTGTCTTTCACTATGCTTCTCTTGACATCACCACCCAACCCCCTGACGTTCTAGCTCAAGATCTTCATTAGTTTACTCTGGTTGACTTCCCCTTACTTAACCTTCTACTCTCTTCCCTTGTACGATCCACATATTGATCCACTATACCCCATTGCAGACACTTTAATTCCCTGCCAAGCCCCTTTCTTTTTTCCTTTCTTTGAGTCATTTACTTCCCTAGGCTCACCTTTTTCCTTTGTATTCTTTCTTTCCAAGAACGAGGTCCCACTAGTTTCACGGCAATAAATTCCTAATTACCTCGCCATCTAATGTTCATTAACTTTCTGTTTTTCCTTTTCTTGACCTGCTGTAGCTTGGGCCCCTGCTTTGATAAACAAAGTTTCCTTTGAACCAGATCTGCGATAGTGATTATTGGGATTGACCAATGCTTGGGATTGCTGATCACCTGAACTTGGAGCACAAGGAAACAAAGGGTCACAGTGAGGAGGAAAGCTACTAAGATTAGATAAACAGGGAGACTCAAGGTTTGAAGAATAGCAAGATCTAGAAGAGTTTGCATTCAGAGAGTGCGGTGAGTTTCTTCCTCGTCCATCCTCAAAGCATCTGGAAGCAGGCAACCGATTCCCATAATCCAGATCAACTAGACAGACTTCTTCCAGCAAATCAGTGCACATCCTGCGGATCAACCTTTGTTCTCTGTCGTGTAGGAACTCAGGTCTTTATCTGAATCCGAGTCTTCTACTTCTCCAAAAGAGCTTGACATTGGATACATGGGAGTCGGTGATCGGAAGACTTCTTTCCAACGAGTTTTTGAGCTTGGGGGGGTTTTAGGGATGTCTCGTCCGCTGTAAGTAAGAGTCGAAAGAGGGCTAGGCGTGTAAGGACCTTCACGCGTGCGAACAGCTTGAGAAAATTGGGTTCGGCTCAAGGAATCGCTGGTATTCTTATCCAGGTTAGCGGAGTCCTCTTTGTGCTAATGTGTCTCACTCAAACCTAGAAGCTACACCTCAAGCGTTGAGCTGAACTTTCGAGCCGAGACTTCTTTTGAAATTTGAACTAGCTTCCTTTTTTGTCTCTTTGAAGTAGTCTTCCTCTCTCCCTTTCTCTTACTTTTACCCAATAGAGCAAAATCCCACCTGTTCCTGACTTCACCCGACTCTTTAGTACCTGCTACATTTTTTCCTTCCTTAGCACGTAACCAACCTACCCCATCTCCTGGCTGATCGAGGGGCATAGAGAGCTCGTGTGTTTGAGGACCGTTGCTCCGAGATGACTCAGCAGGTTGGGCACTTAACTTGGTTGTCTTCTCTACTACGACCAAGGCAAGGAACCAGACATTCCTATCAAGGACTGCTATCGGTCGAGGAATGGAGTGTACTCCATGGTTTTTCACTTTCAAACAAGCAACACTCAACTCATATAAGCTTTTTGTTTTGGGATCAATTTCTTCTAATCCACTGCACAGACTTCCAATCAGCTCAAAAATTTCCTCCTTCCACAAATGAAATGGGAGTATGTGGATTGCAATCCATCCATTGAACAATAAATCAGAAGGGATGGAATTTACAATTGGCCACCAACAATTTAGCTTCACCCAACTACCGTAAATGTAAAACTTCTCCAATCTAGCCCAAGCAGAAACTAGAGTGAACCCCACCGCTTTGTTCCTGGAGAAAGGGTGAAGATGAATGAGGGTTAGAGAGTGGAGATTTGCCGAGAGGCTGAGCTCAATTTCGTAACAACCCAGTTGGTCAGGTTTGGTACATACGAACGCGTTCTTCACTTCTTCCATTGTCCGAAAGGTCTTTCCTGGGTGGCGATAGAAATATGAGCTGAACCTCCAACCTACAACTCTGCTTCGCCCATCCATTAAAGATAGAAAGGCGACTGGGATTTCAAAGGCTGAAGGTCCAAGCTTAGGCAAGAAGGAATCAAGCACTTCGACAAAAGTCTTCCAGCCTAATTTCTTTTTTCTTCAGGGATGCAGATGGATCTTAGTTTTTTTGCGAGTTCCCAGCAGCTTAATCGGATGAATCTTCCCCAATGGTTTTCGCTTTGTTGAATGAGAAACACCTTCCCTCTGTGAACGTGTTTACACTCCTTCACTATTCCTTTTTGCGAGAAAATCACCTCTCGAAGGAAATCTTTCGTCCAGGTCATCTCCTTTGCTTTTAGAGATATTCTCGACCAGCCACCCCTAAATCTCTCGGTTTGCATTAAAAAATCATCTTGGTTAAGTGGGTTTGTATCAAACTTGAATGATTTTGAGCCGATTGTTATTGACTTTCTCATCATTTTCTTTAACGTTCGTCGTTGGTCATTGCTCAGTCTCCACCGAGTGCACTTGGGGAGACTTCTAATCCTCCAAAGAAGCATCCAATCAGCTGCTAAAGAAGAGCCTAGAAAGATATTTTACATATGAAAGAAAGAAAGTTAAATGGAAATTTCAAAAGAAATAAAGTTAAATGTTTTATATACACATAATGCATATATATTCTTATAAGAGTAAGACAATTTCTACCTTCCTTTTCACTCCATAATCAATTTTGTGAGCACATCAAGGTCTCCAAATTACCCAGATGAAGCCTACTTCAACGACTAACTACCCTCCCACCAGTACTAAAAGTTCATTCAGAAGCAACTACGGAAACAAGAGGAAGGGCTTGAATCCTCTCTCAACCCTTTTTACTTATGTGTATTATTTCTTATAAAATATATAACATATATTTAATAAAAATATATACAGGTTTATAGTCAGCTATTGGGAGTTGGGTACCCTAAGGTCAAAAACCAAATCCTATAGGGTTTTGATAAACATGTCCTATTAGAGTCGGGATGGGCTGGCTACCTAAAAATTCCCACGAAATTGCCATCCTTACCGACAAGTTTATTGTAGTTAGTAGTCGATTAAGACTACAATCAGTCTTGAATCCGAAAGTAAAAGAAAGATTTCAGATGGAGAAAAGAAGAAGAAAAGAGGGAGAAAGCAGAAGCACACGAAGGGTTTTAGAAAAGGAGAGAGAGGGTCGAATAGAATCAATCTGCCGACCCACTCTTAATATTTATATGTTTACTAATTGTAAAAAAGGCTGAATTGCCCTTAATGCTTACATGAAAAATAAACTAATAATAAAGCTGAAATAACAAGCTGTAACAACAAAACTGAAATAACTACCAACTAACACTGACATAACTAACAAAGAATACATGCTGTGCTGCCATACGAACACAGTGGGGACCACAGCCGTGGGATCCACATCAGTGTTCTCTACATAGTTGCTGGCTAAACTAAGATTTTTTGTAGTGTTATATGACACACACAAAATCACCATGTAGTTTAGAGTAATTATAGGTATTATGGATGGGCTATCATCAATTCAAATAAGGGATCCATGAAATCATGTATTTCAATGATAGTTGGAGGCAGCTTTGCATGTGTTCTGTTCTATTAAACTCCATGAAAACACAGCAGCAGTTCAGTGGTTCCTTCTTGTGCTTCTTGTATTCATTGTTCAAATTATTTAGAGGTGGAAGTATTTACCGCTTTGTAATTGGTTAGATATCTTCTAGATATAAAAGTCCTTTGGCACTTGATTTTTCTTATAAGCATTGGACACTTCATCATCATATCCAAGAAACAAATTTGATAGTAATATAGACTGGATATCTCATTTGAATTAGTCCTAAAATTAGCCAAACACCTTGTTGACTCTTGCAAATGAATTTCTGATCAACCAATCTGGGATATTTTAGAATGGGTCTCCCAGGTCCTGGGGTACAGCAGTACAGCCAAGATCTGATAAAAGTCCCTTCTTTTTTGTTCTACTGGATATATCATATAAAACATCCATTGTCATTCTGGTTTATCCCAAGAGTAGGGCCATAGGGGTACTGTTTATGCTTGTAATTCCTCTTCTTCCTTAGATTAACAAAGCCCTCTGATTGTCTTTAGTTGTTTCTGATAAAAAAATTTTCGTTTCTCAAAGAGAATGTCGCACAGTTTAATTAGTTGATACTGTATGCAAGCCCTCTGATTGTCTTCGTTTCTCGAAGGGTTTCAAAAGAAAATCAGTCAAAAATAGATTTGTTTATTTAGTTCCCTTGGAACTTTGCAACAGAAACAACTTTTGTTTTACTGAGAACTTGGAAGGACGGAGTCGATCAGAATAATATTCTGAAACTAAAGTTAATGGGTACTTGAAAACGTAGATAAAAGTCCCGCATTTAAATTAAAACATTACAAAAACAACATCAGAACAAAAATGGAAGCCAATAACCCACCAAAGAGCTAATTATAATTGCATTGACAAATACTGGTGTTCCATCTCCACTCAACTCACAATCTCATAGCAATTCCGCAAGTATACATAAATTATCTTTTACCCAGTAATCATTGTGCCTGCACCTTCATCGGTGAGGATCTCGAGAAGTAATGAATGTGGAAGCCGGCCGTCAATGATACTTGCAGTACGCACCCCCTGCGCGAGCGATCGAATGCAGCAATTCACTTTCGGAATCATCCCACCAGCGATCTTCCCTTCATCCATCATCTTCTTCACTCCCTTAATATCAATTTCCTTCACCAATGTCGTGGGTTCATCCTTATTTTCAAGAATTCCGGCAACATCTGTCAAGAGGATCAGCTTCTCAGCTCCAAGCGCTGCCGCCAGTTCCCCAGCAACCGTGTCAGCATTAATGTTATACGCCTGACCATTTTCGTCCGCCGCTACCGATGCAATCACCGGAATGAAATCATTAGCAACAAGCGGGCGGAGGATGGTTGGATCAACCCGAGCAATGTCACCGACAAACCCAAGTTGAGCAGCTTTGGCAGATGGCCGGGCGGTGAGGAGGCGACCATCTTTGCCGGAGAGACCGACAGCAGTGGCTCCGGCCTTGTTGATGAGAGAAACTAAGTGTTTATTGACCTTACCGACGAGGACCATTTCAACTATTTCCATGGTGGGCGTGTCAGTCACTCGGAGACCATCGACAAACTTGGGTTGCTGGCCGAGTCGGCCAAGCATGGAGTTAATTTCGGGGCCACCTCCATGGACGAAGACGGGACGAAGACCAACGCAGGAGAGGAGGACGAGATCGTTGATAACGGATGCCTGGAGATTTTTATCCTTCATGGCTGCGCCACCGTACTTGACGAGGATGGTCTTGCCGCGAAATTTCTGGATAAATGGGAGGGATTCCGCGAGGATATCTACGCGGGTTTGAGCGGCCGCTTTTGATGTCGAAGCAAGGGATTGATCCGGTGGCGATATTGCTGGTTCTGTTGTCGAAATTGATGATTTGAGAGGAGGAAAAGTGAGGAGTGGAGAAGTGGGTTTTCTAGTAGAAGTGGAGAGAGTCGAAAGGAACGGGAGGTTAGCGTTAAAATTAGGGTTGCTCGGATGATTGGAAATGGAGGGAAGAGATGCAAGCGTAGGGGCTTTTGCAGTAAACATCTTCTTCTGTTTCTGTATCTCCCTCACTGCCCTTTTGTAGCTGTGTCGCGGTGTTCTCAGGAGAAAGCGAACCCTCTCTGCCGGCGTCTCTACTCTCTAGGTCGAGGGTTTTGGTTTGGAGTTGGTGGGCAATACTCCTACCCAGTGGGAGGATATTAGGATATATGTCCGACAAGTGGATTGACCCACTTGATTTAAGTATATTCTCTATTTAAAAAATGTTAGTAAATATGATTTATTTAATTATTTTAAAAATCCTATTTTACCCTTATTTGTTAATAATATTTACAAATTGTTCTAGGTTGGAAATAACCACCACCTATTTGACGAAATGTATGAATGGACCAAGTTCATAAAAATCCTTTCCAACCCACAAACCAACTCCCTCATATGCTATTATGCTAGGTTGCATAGCCTGACCAAACATCTCCTTCTCCAAGTGCGGAATAAACAAAAGACCCCCTCCCCTTGCACCTGGTGTTGCTCCCCCTAGGCACACCCAGCCCACATGCTAGGCCACCCCTTGCCCTGCTTACCCGCCAACCACCCCACTCTTCGAAAAAATGCCTCAATGAGGACAGCAATAAAAAGCCAAGAAAACTCCTACCCCTCTCCCTTCTCACCATATAAACACAAGGTAGTGGAGCAAGAATAGTAACAAATTACTCGATCTGCAAAGTAATTGATCCAACGCACCGTTACCTGAAACCCATTGATATCAAGATGTTAAGATTAAAACGCAAATGGGTTCATTTTGTTTCTACATTTATCTCAGTGAAATGGAATTTGGCACCAATTCTGCTCGTTCGGCAATTCTGTCATTTGGAACCAATTTCATAGTTGATCAGAATTCAGAGACTGGCAGTAAAATAATTGCAAGTGATGCTTCTGTGGTGGTGTTTGTCATTTGCATTCATCTGACTGAGAGGGTATGGAATATAATTCTGTTTCAGATCTTTTCATCAAAAAAACAACCTTCTTGAGAATTGGAAATGGTCAATATCTCTGATCAGTAAACGAAAAATAATCTTATTGCAAATGTTTATTAGAAACAGGGAATGGATCTTTTTTAAATGTTGATTTTTTTCAGCAATGTAGAGGAGAATCATAACTAAATAATTTTATTTTCATGGCATCCAAAAAGGTGTGATCCAACACAATTCCAAAATCTTTCATGAGTAAAGGAACGATTGCATTTTGTATCCATGAGAGGTCACAAAAATCTATGTTTATTAGAAACCGGGAATGGATCTTTTTTAAATGTTGATTTTTTTCAGCAATGTAGAGGAGAATCATAACTAAATCATTTTATTTTCATGGCATCCAAAAAGGTGTGATCCAACACAATTCCAAAATCTTTCATGAGTAAAGGAACGATTGCATTTTGTATCCATGAGAGGTCACAAAAATCTATGTTTATTAGAAACCGGGAATGGATCTTTTTTAAATGTTGATTTTTTTCAGCAATGTAGAGGAGAATCATAACTAAATCATTTTATTTTCATGGCATCCAAAAAGGTGTGATCCAACACAATCCCAAAATCTTTCATGAGTAAAGGAACGATTGCATTTTGTATCCATGAGAGGTCACAAAAATCTATTCTATCAAAATCCAAGAAAACATGGCAAAGGAAATGTGAAAAAAAAAACAAAGAAAATCATATCAATCAAATTACTGAGATTTACAATGAATCAATTAATACAATTCAATCTTAAAAGAATTGTAAAAATCTCTTGATCTATGATTAAAATGTGGTCCTCTCCTTGACTAAGAAAAGGTACCTACTTTGATTTTCTTCCTCAGTGTTCTTCTTGTCTCTTTACAGTTCATTCTTTTTGTTTCCCACTTAAGCTCCCAAAACCCTTGCAGAAGTAGTTGGTCTTCTAATTATTCTTCCTTGAACTTCTATACCGATGTCTTCTACAGTGCTTAGAGCCTTTTCTGCAATGAAAGGATGAAGCAATAGCATATTAGTCATTTACCTGAAGCCGGCATTCCTCACAAAACATCTCTTTGAAAATCCTTCCCCTCCTCTTATATCTCCTTGAGCATCAAATGTGAGTTATGGCCAGTCTACCCCCTCTACAGACTAAGCGAGGTAAAACTAGAATACACCCTCCATTTCACATTCTGAGCTTCGAACAATGAAGTTGAATATGAGGCATTTATAGTCGAGCTATCATTGGCGAAAGAAGTCGGGGCTAAGCATCTCGTGTTGTGCAGCAATTCATAGTTACTAGTTAACCAAGTGAATGGACAGTATGAGGCTCGAGAGCCCACCATGTCGGCCTACCTGGCCAAGGTAAGGGAGCTCTTGCCCAACTTCCATTATTGGCATATCCAACAAATCCCAAGATCAAAGAACACGGAAGTCAACGCACTCTCAAAGTTGGCTAGCACAATCGACTCCAATAAAAGGATGGTTTACATAGAAGACATGCCATGCCCAACAATAGAAAGGGTGGCAAAAGAGGTTGTCACTGTGCTGACAATAGAGCCGAGTTGGATGGATCCGCTCATTGACTATCTGCTTCTTGGTACCCTGCGATAAGAATGTAACATGGCCCAGAGGGTAGAGCAACAAGCAGGTCGCTACGTGATCGTAGGAGAGCATCTATACAGGAGATCGTTCACACTCCCCTACCTATGCTGTTTACGCCGAATTGAAGTGGACTAAGTACTACAGGAAATTCACGAAGGTCTCTACAGATGACACTTGCGGGGCAGAGCGCTCGCCCAAAAAGCGCTACGACAAGGCTACTATTGGCCTACACTAAAAGCGGACACAACCAAACTAGTGCATAAATGTGACGAGTGCCAATGGCACACCAATATCCTACATCAACTTGCAACCTACCTAAAATATCTCACTACCCATGGCCTTTCGCATAGTGGGGAATCGATATACTTGGCTACTTTCCACCAGCAACCGAGCAAAGGAAGTTTTTAGTCGTAGCAGTTGATTATTTCACAAAATTGGTAGAGGTCGAGCCACTGGTAACTATTATACCTTGGAATGTGCAGAATTTCTTCTAGAGAAACATTGTATGCAAATTCAGAATACCAAAACTACTGATCTCAGACAATAGAAAACAATTTGAAGACATCAAGTTTCAAAACTAGTGCGCAGAGATGGGCATATAGCAGAATGTCACATCAGTCACTCATCCTCAAAAAAATGGTCAGGCCGAGGTAACAAACAGGGCGACACTCCACGACCTTAAAGCTCAGCTTTCCCGAGCTAAAGGTTTAAGGGTGGGCGAGCTGCCCAACGTATTATAGTTCTACTAAACAACTATCATGACAACGGCCGGTGAAACACCTTTCAATCTGACATGCGGGACTAAAGTTATGATCCCAATAGAAATCGAAGTGTTGACCTTATGATCCGAGACTTATGACAAGGTGACCAATGAGGACGATCTACGGACCAACCTCGACTTGATAAAATAAATTTGTGATCTTGCCTATATTCGAACTATAGCATACCAACAGTGAGTGGCTTAATACTATAACGCCCGAGTCAAGATACGCCAATTTAGAATTGGCGACCTAGTACTCAGGAAGGTTTTGGTGCCTGAACCTGGTGTAGGAAAGCTACGTCTGAACTGGGAAGGCCCTTATAGAGTCGTCAATGTAATTGGTGAAAATGCATACGAACTCAAAACATTGGAGGGGAAGCTAGTACCCCACGCATGGAATATAGACAACTTAAGGAGATATTATCTGTGAAAAGAAGCTGAATACAAAAATGTGAAAATCCTTCCCCTCCTCTTACTTTAAAAAAAAAATCAAAATATCTCGACCTAGACAAACATTTCATATACTTCAATACAAAAATACCACAGTCATTATTCCTACAAACACATTATAAATGATGGTAAACTCAATCACAAATGAATAAATGAAATTTAGAATGCTAGATTCACTAATGACAATGAAAGATAAACATACCCTTCTTGTTATGGAGCCCACATAATACCCTCAAATTGACATTGTCTAATGCTAGTAATGTGAGCTTGTAGCAAAGATATATAAAAGTCACACTACAAAATACAAAGGATTGAAACAAGGAATCTGTACTCATTGGAAAATAAACATGTTCTAGACAAGAAAAAACTAACAAAAATTAGAAAAAGTATCATGTTTGCAATGAAGGCTCTATACACGGAGGATTTCATTGAATCATATACCCGAATATTCTTCTCACACACGTCAATGACGACAAGTTGCCAGTGTGAGCTACCATTAATTGGAATAAAAATATTATCATACTTAACATTGTTTAAAGGTTCAAACCATTTATTTAATTTTATTGTCCTTTTTTTATTAAAACAACCATGCATTATAAGTAATGGTGTTAATTTATTCTTTAAATGAGCAGCATTTAGTAAATCATAATGATAGATAAGATAAGAACAAACCTGTGCTAATGTAGGCATGTAACAAAAATAATACTTGTTATAGTGCCTCGACTGCAGTAGTGTCGCATAAGCATATATGACCTATGGAATACCATAGATGGAATTGTTTTCATGCAGTTGACACACATATACCGTATGGATAAGATTAAGAAATAATTCCACCACCATATTTACTTCTTTGCACAGCTATCCTTCCATATCAAACAATTTTTTTCATATGTATGTGTCACTACAATTACAACACAAGCAAAGGAATGGTAGGATGAAATAAATAAGAAAAATGTGAGAAATGCTAGTGATGGTGCGCGATCTGAGCACTCCTAGCTGGCAGAGGCTGTGCTCCTAGCTGGCGCCGGACAAGATACCTGCGAGGAACAAGGTGAAGGATTCCCGGGGAGCTCTCCCGGTGGGAACACTCCAATGCTTAAGTCAGAACTTGGTGGAGAGCTGAGAAAGAGAGAGTTGCGGAGAAATAAGCTAAGAGTAGAGATGCGCAAATTGCAATTACCTTTGCTCTTTGGGGGTCGGAGCTCTTATATAGCAGTATCCTGTCAAATCAGGCATAACCGCCTCTGATTCTATGCCGCAGTCATTACTTGTCAGGGCTGCACAGGTAACTGTTGCAGAGTACGGCCCTGCCAAGCGGGGGACACCTCTCAGGGTTGGTAGGCACGACGCCACCTGGCGAGAGGCGTGGGTGCAAGTCTCCAGGTTTGGCAGGTACAGTTGTCA